TCGATGGATTTACAGGAACAACGTATACTTCCTAGCTATATTTTTCTTCGTAACAGAAGACCGAGAGAAGAGGAATTATCACCGTCCCAGTTTCATGACTTCAAAAAGGAGATGACAAAGCTGTTTACGTCGTTCATTACCGGGAAAAAAAAAAAAGGATACGCTGAAATAGCAGGTACGCTTAAGTCCCTTCAACAAACAACATCAAATATTGAACTTAATGTCTCTCTCTCTTAACATCGCAAAATGAGGAATTTCAAAAGAAGATTGATAAATTGGAAACTTACTGTATAATCATTTTTATTAAGGGATATGATTTAAGCGCATACACTTCTCACTTACCTACACAATCTCAAACAAACAATTCACAACTATCAACCATACCGACACAGTCAACTACACACACACACACCCCGTGAGTCCAAAACATAACTTATACATAATTACGCATTTCTCTAAAACATTTTGCGTTAATCAAAAAACAACCACACATACTTATTCCATAGAAAACAGTTTCGTAATCACATCTTCAATTCATTATAACACCTACTTTCAAATACATTTTATTTTATTTTTTATCTTATGTAACTATTTTGGTCATAATTCACTTGGCATCCCATCTCACCTAAATGGATAGTAGACTCACTACGCAAGAATTAGACTGCATGCAAATATCACAATCGGAAAATTGTAATATACAAGACTTGTCTAGCCATTTGACGGGACTCTCGCGTAATAATTTAACTGTTATAACACAAAACATTAGAAGCATCCATAAGAATTTCGATGACCTACAAGTAACATTATCACAATTGGATTTTGAAGTAGATATTTTAATACTTATCGAATGTAGAATAAAAGCAAACAAATCACTACCTCTTTTAAATAACTATACCTCCCACAAATCAACGAAACAACTAAATCACAATGATGGCGTTGTAGTGTTTATAAAAAATAACCATAAAGCAAACATCACGGACCCTAACCTTTCACACGCCACGGGGCTTCAGATAGAGACTGCCAATTGCACCTTTCTGTGTATATATCGCTCCCCTTCTTTTCATAATGCCGAAAGTTTCATCAGCTCCCTTAACACACATCGAAACTATCGCTCACCACAAAAATGTGTTTGTTATAGGTGACATCAACATAAACTTGCTCTCTAAGGACGCAGAAAAGCCTCAGGACCGCCGAAATAGACTCAATTATCTAAATGTATTAACTTTGCACGGTCTCTTACCGGGCCACAGTTTACCCACAAGAATGAACGCCTGTCTTGACCACGTCAAAAACAGCTAATAATCCACGAAAATTCTGGAGAACAGTAAACAAGATTACACAATATAAACCACCCAAGACAAATAACGTAGCCCTGCTTAATTCAAACCCGCTACCAATTGTTTCACTTAACTACCTAAATAATTACTTTTTCCGTATCGGTGAAAATCTTGCTGATAGTATCAGTAAGCATCCGGGTATAAATAGCCATGTTTCTGAAGCTCACGCATCTTACAATAATTCGTCATCGTTCGTACTGCTGGATACAGACGTTAAGGAAGTAGACACAGTTTTTATGAGCCTTGACTCAGGTAGTGCACCGGGATGGGATGAGATTATTACAGCTTTTGTGAAACATGCAAGAGACTTCGTTGTCCCCTGCATCTGTAATCTCGCTAACCTTTGCTATAACACTGGTGTCTTTCCCAGCGCTTTGAAGAGGTCTATCGTTACCCGTGGGGACAAAGCGGATGTCTGGTAAGCGCAGCAAACTACCTACCGGACACTAACGCGAACGTTAACAAGCGTCGCCCGCGAAACGTCCTCATCGACCCGGTCGACGAAGAGGACTTAGACACGATGGACCCACCGCCGGGGGTCCCGCCGGATAACACTACACCCACAGTTAGTGTAACAACAATCACACCAGTTCGCCCTCGCCTCCGAGCACGGCGAGACCCACACAACGCGTACACAAGGTACACCCGCGTTCCGGGGCGGTTCTCACCGCTCCCAGCCACCGATTAGCTAAATGCACAGTCGACGGCCGTCGGGGTCTCGGTCCGAACCGGCGACCTCGACGGCCCTTAGATGACACACCATAGTAGTTAAACGCACGCATGAGCACATGCGCGACCCTACCCATAGCGGAGGGTCCAAACCCGTGGGTTCTGGCTAGCCCACCGGTTCTGCGTCCGATGAAGCTTTAATAGTCTCGGGACTGAAAGCAAAAACATCAGTTAATACAAGATACAAGATACAAGAAAGCGGATGTCAGTAAGTACAGGCCTATCTCTGTTCTTACATCAATTTCTAAAATTATTGAAAAACTGCTCAATAATGGACTGGTCGATTTTCTCAACAAATTTAAAATATTATCTAACTCGCAATACGAAGGAATTCTCTCTATTTAAATATTATCTAACTCGCAATACGAGTTAGAAAGGGTTTATCGACCATTTTGGACCTGACTTCCATTATAACCAAAGAAGTCGATAATGGTAACAAATGCCTGACAGTCTTTTTAGACTTAAAAAAGGCTTTTGACACGGTTTCTATCCCTATTCTTTTACAAAGATTGGAGAAAATAGGTGTTAGAGATGTAACACTCTCTCTTTTTAAAAGTTATCTTCAGGACAGAACCCAGGTAGTAAAAATAGATAGCTATTTTAGTGAAAAAGCAAAAATTAATTTTGGTGTTCCGCAGGGAAGTGTTCTTGGCCTGACTCTCTTTTTAATATATATAAATGAAAGCTATTTTAGTGAAAAAGCAAAAGTTAATTTTGGTGTTCCGCAGGGAAGTGTTCTTGACCCGACTCTCTTTTTAATATATATAAATGAATTATGTAACCTACAGAATGTGAGAGGAAGAATATTTTCGCTATTTTCGCTGTTATTGCTATCGTTTTTTCAGGCAAAACTTGGAATGCAGTTCATGTACAGGCTGAGACGGGTTTGACTAGGTTATTGAACTGGCTTCGAGAAAACCTTCTAACACTGAACATTCAAAAGACGAATTACATTTGTTTCTCTCCTTATAATAAATCTCAGCCAGATAATAGTTTTAACATCAAAATCCACACCTGTCCTAACCCTGGTGTTTTGACCTGCAACTGTCCCCCTAGAGTTGAATATAAAGTTAACCAAACGAAATACCTTGGTATTATACTGAACCAACCACTCAGCTGGCATTCACATCTGGATTTGTTAACCAAACGAAGGAGGAAACTCACATGGGTATTCAAATCTTTACGTCAGGTTATGTCCAATAAAGATAAAAACAAAATCTATATAGCCCTGGTGCAATCTATCCTCACCTACTGTATCTCGATTTGAGGTGCTAGTAAAATCACTTTCTTGAACAGGAGAGAGTCCAGAATCTATTATTAAGGTCATGTACTCTAAACCCTATAGGTTTCCTACTGATAGTCTTTATAAAATCAGCGGTCTCCTCTTAGTCAGAAAACTGTATGTTCTCAACATTATCCTTCACTGCCAAAAATCACTAACGTATGTCAAATTTGCCCATAAAAGAAGGAAGAATATTGTGACACCCTCCCTTATACGTACTGCATTTGCTAGAAGGCAATATATTGGCCAGTCCGCCTATATTTATAATAGAGTGAATAATAAACTTAAAATATACCCCATGCTATCTTATAACTGCAAAAAAACACGAAGTGATTGGTTGCACCCTCTTAACTATAATGACATTTAAAATCTTATAATTAGAATCAGTTAACTATATCTATATATATTTACATTTATATATGTATTACTGTTTACTGGGGTAATCCCTGGGGTAATAATCCCTTGATGCCCAAAAAAGAATAGACTCACTTTCTGTCTCCCACAATAACTCACTCACTGCCTCATTCTCCCTTACACTTACTCACACACACACACACGGCGCGCGATATTTGTTTTTATAATATATTGTTTAAATAGTATGTAAGTTAATCTATAGTCTTAAATATCCACAAGGGAAGTTGCGGGTTATTCCGACTACAAGTGTCCATGACAACTTACTGGGAAAACTCGGCAAGAAGTTGTTACAAAGTTTATGGAAATAAATGTTTTTTAAATAAATAATTTTTTATTTTTTTAAAGAAATTTGATTAAAATTAATAAATAATTAACGTTTTATTAAAATTTCTCATTCATTTAAATAACGTGAATTTGGTATAAAAATTACTATTAATTATTATTGAATCAGAGCGAACTAAATACATTATTTATTAAAACTGAAAATTACACCGACATATCGATATCAATATGTCGGTGAGATGGTTTTTTGGTGTCCGGATGAGATGGTTTATTCTTACGATATATAGAAAAATATCGGCCTCGGTATATCGAAGAGCAAATATCTGTATAGCGCATTTACATGATATATAAAAGTTATCGATATTTTTCTGACATCGACATTAGAGACGTCGTAATTGAAGAAATCCAATTCGGAAATCCATGAGTACCTAAAAATTCCAGAAGTCTTGGACGAAGTGAAACGACACTCGGCCAACTAAAAGGACCGTTTGACAACTCATCCAAACCCATTATCCTGTATGCTCCTGTAGGCAAATCCGATTAGAAGACTCATGAGAGCTGATGTGCTGCCTTACTAAGGGGGAGATGGAGCATTGGCTCCACCTCACCAAACCCTAACCTCTTACAACTCACCTGGTTATAGTTTATAATTTTATATCTGCTCGCAGGTTCCATAAGAAAAAAAAAATATCCTTTTCGATTTTTTTGTACGATTTTTTCATCATACCTGCTCAGCAGGGTTGGATTTAGGTAACTTTTTAGGTATTAGCTCAGTTGACAGCAGTGTCTGCTGTCGCTAATACATAAAAGTAAAAAGTCAGAATTTGGATTGTGTTTTAACTGCATTAATGTCAATGAATTAATATTTTACCAAAGAGAATATAACCACTTCGTTTACGTATTTTACTATAGTAACTGTTGCTTTTAAATCTGAATTAACTCAATAAGTTAACGACATGCAGGAGTTTAGGAGATCTTTGCCGAATATTTTAATTACAGGTTATCTACAGTACCAATCTTTCTAAAATGAAAATAAGGCAAAGCTCGTACGTTATTGGTACTACCAATTTTGACTTATTTTCATTTTATAAGAAATAGTTATTTTTAACTAAAACTTCACTAGAGATCAATGGACACTGTTAATTTTTTTTTAAGGAACACCTGGTGTGGGCAAATCAACATTATGCCAAATGGTATCTCAAAGGACGAAATTTACCTGGAGAGAAGTCTCCAAATTAGCAGAAGAACATAATTGTTTGGATGAATATGATCACGAATATCAATGTCCTTTCTTAAATGAAGACAAGGTGATTTTATTTTACGTACATATGTTGAAGTAACCAAATGTTACTCATTTTTTTTACGTAAATGTTTTAGTTATTGGATATTATGGAAGTTATGATGACCAAAGGCGGAAACATTGTGGACTATCATGGATGTGAATTTTTTCCCGAGCGTTGGTTTGACGCTGTGTTTGTTATAAGAACCAATAACACTGTTTTATATGATAGATTAAAAGCAAGGTTGGTACTTATATATCTATGAATACCAAAATGAAGAAAAATTTATTATATTAAAATTGTGACCCTTAGATAAGTCCCTTATAGTACATTATATTAAAATAACACATTTATTGCTTGTGATGAAGCTATAGCATATTGGTGAATTTACTATGGTATGGTTAGGGTTGCCAATTGGTTTTGAGAAAAATAAAGTATCTTATATTTCAAGTAGAGCAAAAATAAAGTATAAAGACGAATAAAGTATTTTTCAAAATTTTATCTATTTCCCTCTTGAAGATATATTTTGTATGCTTCTAGAGCACACTCATTCTCATTCTTTAAATTCCCAATTTGAATAAGAAAGTTACTTTTTTTAAATGAAAATCTGGGAAAACACATGTAGCAGACACACTGATTCCCGACAAAGATTCTAGGTTTAAAAATATATTGAATGGCAAATTCACAAATTATCATATAAGAAACGAAAAGTTCAATTACAAACACCGTGACACGAGAATTTTATATATTAGATTTCCAGCAAAAGCTTCCAAGTTGAAAGTATTCTGTTTCAACTTAGGAAGTATCGGTAAAAGTTTATTAATTATCCATATACATACTACATACATTGTTTTATTTTAAGTAAAGTATTAAGTAAGAGTATAAAGTATATTTACCAAAAAAAAAAGTAGGATATGTTATTATAAAGTATGGTTTGGCAACCCTAGGTATGGTATTAAAAGAGTTAAAGAAATAATACTGTATGAAAGTTGCTCATGTGGTGGGTTGGTAAGTAGTCTGTTGTACTACAAACTTCATCACTCATTTGTTTATTACATTGCCTAGTTGAACATTATGATAAATCACATTGGTTAGTTCAACTCTATGTGCAGATACCTATACTAAAAAAAAATATTAAAAATATCTTTAGTGTGGTTTTACCACAGATACAATACTTTGCCACAGAGTGTACTGCAAGGAAATATAAGTAAGAATATAACCACTAGGTTTACGTATTTTACTATAGTAATAGTAACTGTTGCTTTTAAAGTATACTGCAAGGAAATATAAATGTCAGTACACTAATTTCAAAAGTAGCTAAATATTAGATTGGTGAACTTATTGTTATACCGACGACATTATCCTGTGTTGTATGGATGTTTAACAAACATAAATTTCACGAGGACAAACACCCAGATGCGAAACAACTATCTGTGGGTCACACAAATAGTTGTCCCGTGTGGGAATCGAACTCACGACCTCTGACGCCACTTACCTTGGCCACTGCAACATGGAATCAACAATTTTTTTCTTTAATTTATAAATATGGTATTGTAATTACTAAACTTTTGTATTTGCGTTTTATTTTAGAGGTTCTTTAATAAATGGCTTATTTTAGAGGTTATTCAGGCAAGAAATTGGAAGACAACATACAGTGTGAAATATTTGAGGTATTATTAGAGGAAGCTCAAAATTCGTACAAAGAAGATCTTATTAAGGTACTTCAAAACGATTCACAAGAGCAATTGCATCAAAATGTTAATACAATTGTTGAATGGATAGAAAGGTGGCAAGAGGAAAACTTATAGTATTATTCACAAATATTAATAAGATATGATAGCTCAGTTGGTTGGGTCAATATTTATCAAATATCTACTTATGAAAAAGGTGTATCTGGTCTCCAGATTTAATTTTTGGTATAGGGCATTGGCTACTGATAACCTGTCCAACCTATAGATGTATCCCAGGTATGACAAAAAATACATTTACAGGCACAACAGAGCCGCAGTTTTAATCCATTCTGCATATTGAGCGAAAAATTCAGAATTATCTAATGTATATTCTGTCTCAGTCCAGAGCATGGAGACTGTTTGATTTGTGCTACTTACAGCTTCCACAAATTTCTTAGATATGATAGTGTCCTTACCTACCTTTGATTATGAAGACACTGGTACAGTTAACTTTACAAGACTTTTCTTGTATAGGAGGCATTAACATTGTAAATTTGGCCAGGAAAAGTGATATGGACGATATGGTAAATATGGGGAAATCTGCGTCCTCAGAGAAAATGTGCTTAGTAACATTACAATAAAAATTTGATAAAAAATAAATACCTATACAAATAATAGCTAACTTCCGTTTTATTTGACATACAATTTATTATTAAAATTTGTATAAAAAGTGCGAAGACTGTCGCCGCTGTGGGAATCGAACACACGTCTTCGGCAAAAAATGTGGAACGCTTCACGATTTTGCGATTTTCAAGGATAACACGCAAAATCGTCCATTTCATTCCGAGGGGTTATTGTCATTAATATATTTATTTATTATAATAACCCTTTTTATAAAGTTTTTCTTTAATAAATTTCTTAAACCTGTTGATAGCTTGTGCTATTGATATATAAATAAATTTCAGGTCAAACAATATTCAATAATGTAAATAAAACAGCACATCTATAAATATTTCCTAATTTATTTCTTAATCCTGACAAATATAAGAAATGCATTTAATATTACTGTATTTAGATCAATCTAATAGATAGCTCATTTGTTTAAATAAGATGCCATTTTTTGACTTTAATATATTTCAATTTGTGAACTCTCAAGATTATTCGAGACTATTACTTAAAAGTTGTTTCAAGTAGTATGTATTCTAGTTATAATGTTAACTGATGGAAAAGAAATGGTGCATCATGTCAAAACAAGTGAACCCATGTCTATTGATTTCACTCTCACAATACATTCACTCACAGATCTTTCATGGAAAGTTTCACATCACAACATTGTTGCCTACAGCTCATCCTTCTTAGCATTCCCCTTTCTGTCCCAGCCTTTGAGTTCACTGCTGGCTTGCTCTGATACGTATTTAAGGAAGTCGTCTATTGCGCGTCCACCCTGAAACCAAGAATTAAAGTAAATAAATATAGTACCACTGATGTTTATGGGATATTTTCAGGTGTTCATGTGCTGTAGAAACCGTGAACCTTAAAACTTGAAAATATATACAGCGTGTCGTTACCATCGCGTAAATAAATAAACACACGTCTAACGCTACTTGCCAATAATCATAAAAAAATATTAACGTTAAATAAGATCCATAATTAAAAAAAAATATTTTTCCAACAACTAATTAAGTAAAAAAGAAACAAAATTTGTAACATCCTATACATCTCGCGCCACAGCATCGCATTACAAGCCTCTCCTTCTAACAGTATGTTTTATCTCTTTTAAATTCATTCAACCCATTCATATGCTTTGTTACATTACAGTTTTATAGGTAAGGGTGTTCTAAAATTCTTTGTTTTGGAAAATTTAATAACTCTGTAAATATTGATATTTAAAGAATGTAAATGTTTAATACAATTTTAAAAAGTTATGCACTACATGTGTGTTCATTTATTGTCGCGATTGTAAAGACACGCTGTATAATTATGTATATGCAAAAATATAATAAAAATATGGAAATATGCATGATATTTTTATCTGGGTGATCGAAGGATGAGAAGTTAGTTTATAATATACATTATACATACATTGTATCTGACAGGTTTCTTGTTGGTGTCCTTAGGCTTCCAGTAGATAGTCGGGAATCCTGACACATCATACAGTGATTTGGGCCAGTCATTGGCGGTGGCATCGATTTTGATTATGTCTACCTCTTCATTCTTGAGCTGTGTGATGGAATAAATTATTTATGTTTTTTTTTTATTTTAATTATGAAGATGCATACTTATGATAGTTGTAAAAAAAATATACTTTTTTCCATGTTTTCATACATATAAGCTACATTATATCCGAGCAACTTATTTCAAATTCACTTAAATAAAAGAAGAGAATCGTAAATTAGAAATTTAAGTAAGAATATTTACATCAATCAAAAATAGTCTGATTAAAGGCTTTTAAATGAGGCACTTGTGAAATACAGGCTAAGTGCTCTACGTGTTTCAATTTCAATGCTGGTTAAATACAATTTTATGTGCTGCCATTACACTTCTCATCTATGCAAAGGCAGAGCAGACAAACTAACTTCTTTGCATTGTAAGCCTCACACACATACCTTTTCACCTAGTTCGTCCCAAACAGGTGCCAACTTCTGGCAATGGCCACACCAGGGGGCATAGAATTCGATCAGGGCATCCTTCCCACTATCAGTCACCAGCTCCTTGAAATTTTTGCCGACCGCAACCTTCACTGGTCCATCGTTGTTCTCGGGCACAGTCTCGGATTTGATAAATGGTTCCAATTTGCCATCTAAGAGGTCCTTGGTGAACGCCAGTAAGTTTTCGATGCTGAAAGGGTTTTTGTAATAATTTTTTAGACCTTATTTTTTATAATATGTGGTTGGGTACTACAATCTGCATGGTAGTTTATTGAGACAAATTTGAGAATATAATGGTTATTTGTATTTTTATGTCGGCTAAGTAAGGGTAAACTTGTATATGATAGTAATATCATGCTACCTAACATATAAGGACAGTACATCCAGACACATAATTATCTTTCATTATACTAAGTAGGAACCGTGGCACCTTATTAGGATACAACTTGCTATCTGACATCATGGCTTCTTGATCTAGGATGAGAATAGTATGAAACTATGAATTTGAATTCTCACATTCTCTCACATGCAAAAATCACAGTCTCAATGTTGCCTAGTGCATGACAACAGGCTAACTGCATGTCACACTTTGATACATTATATTATTGGTGAAGCACTCTTCTCTATAAAAACACTCATGACTTGTGAAACCATACAGTTCATGAGCGTTTTTCTTATATTTAAAGTAAATAATATATCAATTATTGAAAATTTCTCAAATGTATATTACCTGAATTCAGTACTCATGACAAACTTGTTGCCGTCGCTGTCGCGTCCGGCCACGACGGGCTTGTCACCCTTCACGAAGTCAATGCCGTACTCGTTCAGCTCGTGGGTAAAGTCGTCCTTGTCGCTGATGGCAAAGTTGGCTTCGGTCATCTCTTTCGCTACCTGGTAATGATTCGGCAGGTGAAAATGATGAATAACGAACAAAAATTGGAAAGAAGATATTAACGCATTAGCAAGACAAGCGTTTACAATTTATTTACGTAGTAAAACTAGACGCTTTTAAAGAAACAAATTGAAATGATTTCATAGTTTTAATGTGTTTTGATTTCTTATAAATCGCTTGTTTTACAATTATTTAATGGAATAGTTTACCTTCAAGACGCGGTTCCTCCAGTAGTTGGTTCCTTTAGGATTCTTGACGTAGTCCACGTCGTAGTAAACAACAACGAGAGGGTTGGTGAAGTCCTGCATGTTCTCCTTCTGGCGCACACCCACTAGACCGTGGCTGTTAAAGTTACGACGAAATTAGGACACCTATTTTTATGATATATATGTATAAAAAAGACGAAATAAATTATCCTTGATAACAAGGAAACTCATGAAAAAAAAAATATCGACTTAGTACTTTAAAAAAAATCTATACTTAAAATTTGTTATAAACTAGCGACCCGCGACTTGTTACAAACTAGCGGCTTCGTACGGGTGCAATGTATTAAACATATAAACCTTCCTCTTGAATATAATTAATAAATAATATATCTAGTAAAAAAATCCCATCAAAATCCATTACGTAGTTTAAAAGATCTAAGCATACATTGGGACAGAAAGACAGCGGGAGTACTGTTTTATACTATGCAGTAACATACGGTAGGTATTCTAAAGCTTGCCGATAATTTGAGTAGAAATGAATTACAGTGTTTGTAATCTTCCACATGAAAGAAATGTTATGACAATGTGTTGTTTACTCACTAGTTTTCCTTGATGAAAGCCTTGAGCGAGTACATATCTGTGTCGCCTTTGTACACAACAGAAGATTCCTCAAACTTGTTCTGGAGGCGCTTGGGACGGAAAAGCACGACATTGTCTCTGTAGAAAAAATAAATAGGAATGAAAAAGGTGGTAGTATTTTAAAATTTTTAAATGTTTTGTTTTTCTATAAAGTTCTTTACACGTATACGTGTATGTATACGTATACATAGATAATCTTTTCTAATATTGCAATAAATTCGCTAAACGTGGCAAAAGCCGCTAAATAAATAAATGTTTAATTATTCAAGTGAATTTTCCTTCTAAGCTGAACGTTTGTTTTAAAAAATTAAAGCGTAAAATAATGGTTAGAAATGGGTGAATAACGTTTCAGCAACAGTTACGAGAATAAATGAGCCTAAGCCGTACGCTGGGCGTTACTGATGCATTAGTAAGAGAAATTGTAAACCCATTTTAATTAGCAATCAGTTAACTACTGATAAGTTAATCAGGTATATTAACTTGTCGCTGAAACGTGATAAAAAATTAGCAGTTCATTTGTAAATACGTTTTTTAAAATTTTGCATTGTTATGACTGAGGAATTTCATATTTACACTTACTGTTACTTTAGAGATCTGTTACAAATGCATTAAACTGATACTAACTCTTAGCAATATCAGGGCGGAAGTACAACAATGGAATATTTGTTCATATATTTGTATTAGATACCCTACATAGATAAATTTTCCCATGGCATGACTATTGACCACATCGTTGTAAACTAAATCGGTCTAGCAAGGACTCGTACCGGTTGCTAAATTAAGCTTATATTTGTTCTACTGCGTTACAAGATAGTGTGAACACATTTAGTGTTACATTTATAAATTGATTATCAATATAAAGTATAGACGGATAGGTAGTTATCAGTCTAATACTAGAACGTATAAAAACTTACAAAATGTTTTAAGGTATGGGGCCAGTATTTATAAATATGTCCATGGTCAATAAATTTTAGTATTCCATTTTTCAAATGTTTCGCTACGGGAACAATAATTAACGCGCCGCGATTTTTACGGTTCGATCTTTGCCCATAATATTCCTTCCATTATACACGTAAGTAAGAACGAAAGAGCGGACGATATCATAAATTCCTTTTTACGCAAGGCCTGTTTATACGAGAAACATAATAGCGTATACAACAATGAGAACGTGAGACCACTAAATGCAACAGTCTTCAAGTTATTCAAGAAATGCCTTGAAAGAACATCAAGCGGTTCTGCGTAGTGGGTTTTCTGACAAAGGCGTTTAAAGTCGTAAGAACGATAGGACATGTTCTTTAGCATTCATCCAATCTATTTTAACCGATTGCGTTAAAAGCCAAGCCGTAAAGTTTTAGATCGTCCAAATAGCCCGACGGAAACAGTGATAATTATAAAATCTCTTTTTAAAGATTTGTATATTTAGACGGTATTTACTACATTTACATTGTACTTAGATACTCCAAATTAAATTTTTGTTCTACAATATATGATTTTAAGTATTCTTACAATTCGTGTTTTATATAATTCTTAAAATTAGTTTAGCCACAGCTTTATTACAAAATTTTCTTTAGGCATATATTTTAAAACTTTTGTATTGTGAAGTTTGTGCGTATGGATGGTGAGGCTAGTCTGGAGAAGCACCACGACTCCACAGGAGACCAGCGTATCTTAGTTATATTTAAATGTTTGTATTTGTCTGCTATGTGTGGAGTCAGGATCCCTCTATTTAGAGTATAGCAATGGTGCTGTAAACCTACAGTCATTGTTGTCCATGAGGACAGTTATCATTGAACATAAGGGGAACCACCTGCATGTATGTAACTACCTCCCAAAAAAAATACAATTATCTAAAATAACTTATTACTTGTTATCTAAGTTATTTTTATAGACAAGACATACATTTCTGGACTGTATGAAATACTAACTTCATTATTTGTAATGTGGCATCTCAATAATTTTAATGGTCAACATATGCCAAGAATTGCTAACATTATTTATTTTATTGCAGAATTTTAATGGCATTAGTTAATTACAATAAGTTTACATGAAAGTAAAAAAATCTATACTCTTGTTTTTAAATTTTAAAATCAACCACCACCAGTACCACCACCCAAGGGCGGATCCAGCTTTGGTGCCAGGGGGGGGGGGGGGTCACATAGTCGTGGTAAAGTGATAAGAAGTTATAATTTAATTTTTATAATCATAGATACAAGTAAAAAGTAGGTATTTTTAACCGACTTCAAAAAGAAGGAGGTTATCAATTCGGATGTTTATATTTTTTTTTGTCTGTTCTTATTTTGGTAAAAAAGTCGTTTTTTTTTGTTCAAAATTATTAAGTATTAGTAGTCGCGGCAATGAGCACGTTTAACGGAAAAAAAGTAGTAAATCGAATAGTTATTAGGTATACCTATTAAGCAATACTCTAGGTATAGAGTTAAAACAAGCAAAACGGTTTTAGCTTTTTTGATATTTTATAGCTTTTAAAAATTTATAAAAGGCATATATAGTAAAAAGTAGTAGGTAGGTAATTAATATTACTATTTACTTGTTGTAAACGCTCGTTGATAAAACGCAATGATTTTGAATCGCGCAATAGTTTTGAATTGAAGTTTTTTTTTTATTTTTAAAACTTCAAAGAAGATTATTATATTATAAATTTCTTTGTGTCACGAAGTGTCAGTATAAGTATAACACGAAATGAGACATCAGATGAAAGGCGGCGCGGTACTATTCAAATTTTCGATGCGTTCGTTCCCGAATAATGCGTTTGTAATCATACAAAAATAAAAAATATACTACGTTTAAAAAACCGACTTACATCAGTTAAATTATATATAACATTTCGTTGCTTTTTATGGCATATATTAAATAGTATTTTTTTAAGTAGCTATTGGTAGGCTTACTTATTATTGAAATTTCTTTTTATTTATTTCTTCGTTACCACGTTTTATGTAGTCGTATTGGTTATAATATTTTTCAATTTCTCTACTCCGCACGCTGGCTCCACTTCAATGACAAGTAGGCTAAGATCACTTGTCGGGACACGAGCAAATAATAATATACAATCAACCCAAATGAAAAGTCCTAAAATGACCGTACACAAACTACACGTACTAACACTACAATTACATCGTTCAAGTTAAAAAAATGTTCATAAATAACAAAAAAAATATTTATTCAGTAATTAATTCGTTCATTCATAATATTCAGCGTTCATCCGTCTAATACATCCAATCAAAGACAGAATCCACATTCATAACAAACGGAACGAACAAACTTTATTTCCCAAAGATGGGGTTGCATACTCACATCCACGAAATCACCAACGCTCACCACCCATCAAAAACGAGATCAAGACGAATCAAACTCGAAGCAGTTGTGTTTCTTAATTACTGAGTTCCTATGGCCACAGTCCAGCTCTGTCATGAGACCCTGGTTACCATCTAGCACCAAAGAACTCGTCAAGACGAATCAAACGAGCCGAGACACAATAGGGTTGCGTACCTTCCAGGCCCATCATCAGGTCAGACCCTGGAAAGCATCTAAAAATAAAGTACTCGCCAAGACGAATCAAATGAGCCGAGACACAATAGGGTTGCGTACCTTCCAGGCCCATCATCAGGTCAGACCCTGTAAACCATCTAAAAATAAAGTACTCGCCAAGACGAATCAAATGAGCCGAGACACAATAGGGTTGCGTACCTTCCAGGCCCATTATCAGGTCAGACCCTGGAAACCATCTAAAAATAAAGTACTCGCCAAGACGAATCAAATGAGCCGAGACTCGATGGGATTGAGTCGTTTCATTACAGAGGAACCTTACAGAATAGCCTCAGACCTCACAGAATAGCTTCATAGACTTCACAGAATAGCCTCATAGACCTCACAGAATAGCCTCAGACCTCACAGAATAGCCTCATAGACCTCACAGAATAACCTCATAGGCCTCTACAACCCTATGCATATGTCTATGGACTGCTGAAGATGGAGCTCCATCACCAGATCCTGGTTACCAATGAAAGAAACTACTCGTCAATACGATTCAAATGTTTCCAAACGCGATGAGGCTCTGTCATTTCATTGCGAAGTTCCTTTGGCCACCTTCCAGCTCCATCATCAGATCAGCACCATGTCATAATAATATTGTAATATCTTGCGATTTACACATGTATACAAAATTTCAGCTCTACCGGTAACCGGGAAGTGGATCAAATTTAATTTTCAAGATTTTTTATGATTTTTGATGATTGATGACAAACATTAAAATATTGTAAAAATGTTCATAAAATGAAAACTACTTGGCCAAACTATGTTCAATTTATATGGGACCAAATGACAACTATTCTGCATCAAAATTAAGAAGAATCACGTAAATCGGATCATAAATCCCAACGTAATTGAGGTGCATACATCGAAAAAAAATATACCAATCGAATTGAGAAACTCCTCCTTTTGAATTCGGTTAAAAATAGTATATTAAATTAATTAAATATTGAAGATAATCTATATCGTGGCAAAAAAAATATATAAAAACATTATGTTTAACAATTTTAATTAATGGTCCACCTAGGTCCAGCCCAGCCCAGGGGGGGGTCATGACCCCCATGACCCCCCCCCTGGATCCGCCCTTGCCACCACCGCCATTTAGTGTACTTCAATGCAAAAAAAGCCCTATATGGTATAAGCTACAAGTGGAAATCTGCCTGCCACAGTTGTGAAAAAGTATTGTGTATCATCATATTTTAGAGCAATTACAGACAAATTGACTGATTGATCCCTAAAGAATGTTTCCATCAATTATTCTTACTATGCAGGATACTTTGTAAGAAACACCAGATTTTACCATGAATTATGATAATGTGCAGGAGTTTGCATGTGGACAAGTTTGTGTTGTGATTGGAGTCTCTATTATATGGTATTAACAAAAAAAAAATTAGAAAGTATGTTACATATGTATGCATTGAAATATAGATATTTGTTTAAGTCCATAGATTGATATCACATTATAACATTGACAACATGTATTATGTCGGAACATGGACCATTACATTAGATTTGATAAACATCAAGAAATTGCAAAAGGACACAGATCCCTGCCAAAAATTTAAGGCCATTGGCCATCTTTCAAGATGCTCATTATCATGATAATGAGCATCTTGAAAGATGGTGCTTAAAAATATAAATTTTTAACATATTTACAATTTTAGGCATTAAGTAAGGCTTAATAGACAGAGATTATAGAAGAAGTGGAGAAGTTGCTAAGCTACTTGCTTTGACGCCCGGAGTCAGAGGTACAATTTCAACATAGTACAAGTAGTTTAACCCACAGATAATTGTGTCAAATCTAAGGTTTTATTCCCAATTACGGTTGAAGTTAGGCAGGAAAAAAGTAATAAAAAACCTAGAGAGTACCATTTTCAACACGATTCACATGTTGTGATGACCTCACCAAATGGGGACAAGTGCAGGAGAACTATTAAGTGGAGCTTCATTGTTCTCCTGCAATTGACCGGTGCCGATATAAATGCTACTTAAATTTCCCATGGCCTTGTCTGATATGTAGCCAAATGTTATACCAAAATAATTTTGCTGCCTTAAAACCAGTTAATAAATAAACTCCATCAAATAACTTACTTAAATCCGGTCTTTTCTAGGATATCTTTTGCAGAAGAGTGACCGAAAGTAACTTCCTCACGCATTTTGTCAGCAGTTTTAAGGAACTCTCCTTTAAGGTCTGTTTCCTTTTCAAAGAATCCAACAACCACAACTTCATCTTTAGATGTAAAGGCCTCATAATCAGCTACAGTCAATAGATCTTTGGAGCTTGGTCCCACTTGTGCACGCATGTATTTGACAATGCCATCTGTGTAATTTTTATTAAAATTATTCAGTTATTATTACTGTTTGACTATGATTTTATTACTGGTTATGCGTCCAATATAAGAAAAAATGCATACTTGACTCTCTTGGTCCATTGTATTCTTGAGAAAGCTCGCCTTTCCTAAAGATTTTTAGAGTAGGGTACCCAGACACTGAGAATTTTTCACAAGTGCTCTTTCCCCCCTCTGTACAATCTACCTTTGCGAGCGTCACTGGTGGATCATCACTTTTCAACACGCCGGCCGCTTGCGCATATTCTGGCTTAAGTCTCTTACAATGGCCACACCTGAGTACCAATTATTTTATAATTGTAGTCAATTCAATCACTAATTTAAATTAAAATGTTTAGATCAACAAATACTCTGGTAACTTACCAAGGTGCGTAAAACATGACGAGAGCGGTATCATATTGGGAAATTACTGTGGAAAAGTCTGAATCTGTAAGATCTAATACATCTTCTTCGGCAGCCTTACATAAATAAATTAAACCTAACAATAAAACTAATTTAATTGAGCCCAACATATTTGCCGAAGTTCCTATTCTTCGTTAAAAACCGTCCGGTAATTCTCGCCGATGGAGTGAAGCTGAAGGAAAGGACAAGGACCGGAAAAATACACGTATGATGCCGATTTATGACATTAACCGGCATAGCGTTGGCCGTTTCTGATTGGTTAGTTATAAGTGCGTTCATGACAATACAATTGCCTTAAATAAAACTTTTTAAACACAATGGAATGAAATCGGTATTATTTTAAATAATCACAGTAGGTATTACTTAAATATTTAAATTGTGCTATATGTAATTAGATTTAAATATATGACCATAAAATTATTATAATTTCTATTAGACATTTAAAAATTATGTTTTAAAACTTACCTATAACGGAACGTCTCTAAGTAAAATAACTTTGGCTTGGCATTGGCAGTTGGCTTCGCTGTCAAACGGAAAATGGCAGCGACGAGTGTTGTCGTTCTCGACAGAGGCAATAATACAACTTGTACCGTAAATCTTTTCGGTGAGTAAGCTTATAAAAAGTGTAATTTAAAAGTTTTAGCAAATATTATTTATTCTTATATTGTAAAACTTAATATTCCATGGGTATTTTTTGTTTGCCGCCTAACCTGTGAAAGTTTTTAATACTATTTATTTTTTAATAATGCGCGAAACTTTTTAAATCTTTGTTACCCTTATTTGGTACTATTTATTCAACCTTAAGTATTTGTTACTAACAATGGGTCTCATTAATAGTAGTTCGGTTTGTGCGGCTTTTCGTTTTGTATCTATTACGAACAGTAACGAGTTTTTTTTCTCGGTGAATAGAATAAGTTGTCTGCGGCGATATGACCTTGGTTATTGGATTGTAGGAAGTAAACTGTATGATACTTGCTTCTAAATTGTAAGTTGGTATTTGATGTACTGACAAAAAATATTCGTAAGCTGTCTAGTTACATTAGTATATAATTATTAAATAATTTTGAATAATCTAAAGAACCAGTTTTATTTTTAAAATAATTAGAAATGTACACATTCATAATTACTCTAGATTTAATATAATATTATATTTACATATTCATAGTTACTCTTAAATTTTAACACGGATATGTAATTAATAATAATAATCCATTTTTGTTTAATTTTGAAGTATATATACTTGGGTTTTTTTAGGTGCCACCGTTGTGTCATGGCGTGTGAACAATCAGGAACAGTTATTCGTAAGGTAAGAAAAGTGTAATTCATGAAACTTATTTTATTAAAAATTTAAAAATCTATTTTATATTATATAAGATCTAAAAATGCTTAAAACTATGTTCTATCATATGTTAATATTCAATTTCTCTTAAAGATCCTATTGATGAAGGGTATAAAGAAATAACAAATCTTACATTAAAAATTTGTTCATATTTAATGAATTTATGAAACAATACATTTAATTTTGACAGTAAAAACTGTCTAATAAAATCATCATCTCCAATAGGTTTCCCCAACTCCATGTCTGTCAATTTAAATTATCATTTCATTTTATACAATTATACATATGTAAAAAATATGTTTGTTATCAACATTAACTAATACAAATGTATTAGTTTATAACATTTATTTAATAAAAAGTATTTTTTTTATGTTTTATTGATCAATAATTGCTGAATTTAGTGGTATGCTAATTGTGTAAAAATAATAATTTTTACCTTTAAAATGGTATTTTATTCATTAAAATTAATTTTATAATTTTTTGGCTATTGTGATGGTTTGAAAACACGTGTTATGTTGCATTGTAGTAAGTACTTGGCAAATTTTAGGGTTGCCGCTGTCTGATAATATGAGAATGAATGAGTATCTATGTCACAAAATTGTTTATAACTCAAATATAACAAACAAATTAAGTCATGTTGAAGTTTAATTATTTTGATGTTCCATTACTAAGATTGTTGGTTGCTCCAATTTAATACAGTCATGAAGTCCTAAACAATTCAAATGCATGAAATTACCAATTAGTATTCTGCCATTAATTCATCTTTGACACCATGTAATTATGCCGTGCTGGTTATTAAATTAACATAAATAATTCATCGCCGTATTATTAGCATAGACGAATTATTCAGAATCGCTGCTCCATGTAAGGCAATCACAGAGGAGCGAGGGTTGTATGTGTTCATGTTAATATCGATATTATTAAATCGTTTATTGGTGAATACGTAATTCGAGCAATGTATTTTGGCGCCAAACTTGTCATCTGACGTCTCACAATTCAATTATATTTCTGATAAACATATACGAATAACATGCGTGTGTGATTTACTTTTTGTGAGAAAGTGGGAAGAGAGCTGGCGGTTCGTCAAATGTTAAGTGATAACGCCCATAGACATTTGCAACACACGGGTGTTGCAAATGTCTACGGGTGTTGCAGATGCGTTGCCATCTTTAATAAAGTGGGCCCCGGTTACTTCCGGATGAGTGAAGACTCATCAGAAGAAACGCAGACTTCCAATTCACGCCGGTCTTCAGTGAGGTCGTGGTACTTCTCCGGACGGAGCTGCCTATTCGTGCAACAGTTAAGACTTTGGTTCTTGCGTGGCCCTACCACTGTTAGGATTTCCATCAGAAGTATCCATGAATGTGGAGTTGAGTTCGAACATTCAGTACATATTGGGTTGGGTGTGTTAGGTCGGAATTACGTCGTACTCGACCAATAGTATGTTTTGGTTGGCTAGCTTAGTGTTAATCTTTTGTAGTTAGTTCTTGCACTTTTCAGCCCAAAAGGCGTTTTTTATTAAGTAAATCTTCACAAGGGTGACATAGAAATTTGCCCATCGATTGCATGCTTACATGGTGTTGAAAGTTCTTTGCTTCACCTAATTTTCGTCGTTATTTACTGCCCAATGTGGTCAACATGATATTTCAGCAGCTTACTAAATCTCTTGAATATGTATAACCCGTAAGCGGGTCCTTTTAGCAAACTATATAAAGGGATTATATAAAAGGGTTATTCAATATGGAGTTATATTGGTCCTGACGACACAACTGGTGTAGATACAATAATAGCCTCGTCTTGGTTCGAACCAATCTTCGAAATCGCATAACTGCAAAGAAACAGGATTCTGTATTCTGTATTCCTTTGAGATTGTGCGCAGGAAATCCAGAATCAGATATCTGTCTACCCTTCTTTTATAAGACGACTGAACGCTTAGCAGTCCTCAACCCACTTGTCGTTAACATTCCCAAGAGATTTGGTTCGTCCGTCACATGCCTATGTGGTTTATTGTCTACGATAGAGGGGCCGACAATTGGTCAGTTTCAGTGTTTCCCTTCTAACACATTGTCTTCAAGGCGAATGGAATTTTTAGAGTTAATGTCATTCACCATCTGGCTTAGAAGAACAGTCTACTGTGTGAAGCACCAGAGTCCCAGTGTAATGAATTTTGACATGATGTAGTATATCCATAAAGACTAGTAAAGTTTACGAACTACGAGCGGAAAATTATATTAATGTATTGTGTAGCTTTTTGCATAGGTTTTTTAAACTAATCTACCGTCAGTCGCACCTTCGCAGGAGTATGTAGTAATATTTAATCAAAATAAAAAGTCTGTTGATCCGTTATCAAACTTCATAAAACTTCATGATCCTAAATTGTTTGGAAGTCCACGGGAAACATTAAAAAAAACATCTATTTTTAATAAGCTTTGCAAAATTCGTGGACACGAATAAATACAGCAAATTGTATAATCCCCACTTAGTGTTTAATATTCACTTTGTAACTTACCACAAACTAAAATGCAAAAGTCGTCTTCTATGATGGTTTGAAAGTTTTATAAGTAAGTGGAAAGTATTACCCGGTTTTTTAATCATTGAACAGTTATGGAGTTTCGATCAAAATGTATGTATCAAACGTTGTTACGCCAAACATATTAGATGCGTAGTTCTACAAGTATGTATAAAATTATTCTAAAGTATGTCATTTTTAAAAACTTTGCAAAGAAAACATGTGAAGAGCTCGTCAACGTAGCTTTGAAGCGGCTTTAAATTTGTTGAGACTCGTGGGTGTCACTACATGTTCTTTGCTGAAGTGTATTCCACCACAGGATAGATTTTCCGCTCTCTCATCGAGCCGCGTTCTTTGCCCGAAGCTTGTGCCCTTCGTTCTAATTATTGCGTCCATAGACTTCGAGTCCCGTCGACCTTTTCATTTTAATGTGTGTGCAGAGTTTTAATTATTACAATCGGCCCGCGAGTGCGCGTTGAAAAAAATCGTTCAGTCGACCGTGAGTGTATCCGCGTCGAAACGGGCGGCTTCCGCTAATGAGACTCCGTAGATTAGCGGGGATTTCGATGCTCTCAGCCGCTCCATTCGTTGGTACCTACGAAGTAGTACCGAGGGGCACCGGTGCGTTCCATGGGAGATCCCGGAGTCCCTCCAAATGTACAGAAGGTGCCACCGAGGGGGTTTTAGTGGGAAATAATCCTGTCATGTAAGGTCTTTCGAAGATTCCCCCCCCCCCCCCCGATACCAAGAAAAAAAAAAGGTTCCCACAAACATTCTTCGGTCCAAGACACGATTCTCGTAATGGTCAGAGCCCGAAAATAGTTGTGAGCTCGAGAAATTTCGTGTCAGGCTTCCGTTTGAGGTTTGCGCGAAATTGAAATGTTTTGTTGTTGCATTGACTACGCGTAGTTATAAAATACCATATTAAATTTTGTTTACCTTACGTTTTCGTGCGATATCGCTCGATTAATATTTGACAAGGCTACAAAACTGTAGCCGCTAGCTTATTTTGATCTGCACGGCCGAACTTGTTCATTCAGGGACAATTAAACTTAAGAAAGCGGTTAAAAATTTTATCGATGCATTCTACGAAGTGAGAAGATCACCGTCCGAGAATGAGCGAGCAATTTTGGACAGGAATTAGTCAAGATCCGTGATGAATTTTCGATTTCCTCCCATTATACTAGCAAATGTACGTAATGACGCCATATACCATTTTGTTATAAATGACCTTTTTGTTATAAGTGACCATTAAATTGTAAATTTAAACTGGACGTGTTATTACCTAAGTGCGTTGGTTTATTATTTCATTATTAAGCATGTAATTCATAATTAGATGATAGATATGAATAATTATAGTCAATGGGCCCGTGAATTTTCCACATTTGAAGTATTAAAAAGTCTGTGAACTGACAGCTTGCTTGAGAAAATTAATTGACTTTTATGATATTTTTTTTTCAATAGCAAACGGCAAATTTAGTTTATTAATTATATAACATTTTCCCCGTTATAATCGATTTTCTTAAAGTATACAGCGTGTCGTTAACCACCGCGACAATAAATGAACACATATATAGATGATAACTTTTTAAAATTGTATTAAACAATTACATTCTTTAAACATCAATATTTACCGAGTTATTAAATTTTCTAAAACAAACAATTTTAGAACACCCTTACCTATAAAAGCGTAACGTAAAGTTCATTTGTAAAGGTCACAAAGCATATGAATGGGTTGAATGAATTTAAAAGAGACAAAACATACTGTTAGAAGGAGAGGCTTGTAATGCGACGCTGTGGCGCGAGTTGTATAGGATGTTACAAATTTTGTTTCTTTTTTACTTAATTAGTTTGTTTGAAAAATATTTTTTTTTAATTATGGATTTTGTTTAAAGTTAATATTTTTTTATGATTATTGGCAAGTAGCTTTAGATGTGTGTTCATTTATTGTCGCGATGGTAACGACACGCTGTATACTGGTTTAACTTATTTTAAAATTTATCAATATAATTATCCCCACGACCCACCCGGCTTCGCACGGGTGCAATGTGTTATACATAAAAGCCTTCCTCTTGAATCACTCTATATGGTAAAAAAAAACATCAAGATCCGTTGTGTAGTTTTAAAGATGACGTCTTTGTTTTATACTATGAAGTGATACCTAGCTTGTGTAAATTATTCGGTATTATATTTGTTTGTATGCTTCGTATTGTCGTGGCATAAAATGCTGTTCTATATATGTTTTATGAAAATAAACGTAAAAATCAATTTTCTGCGAAGGCAGCGCGTTTTGTCAGCATAGCTTGTTAGAGCACACCTAATTCTCTCAAACGAATTTTGCAATAACATTGGCTTTACCTAGAAATTAGAGTTTGACGGAAGTTAGTATCTTTTGTTTTGTTTTAATATTTAACGGCCTGACGGGTCTACTACCAGCTGTAATATAGGCCTTTTGTCA